AAGAGGAACACGAAGAATCAGAACCTCCACAGATTAAACTTGAAATAGAAGAATTGAAATTACCCCAGATTAAAGAGGAACACGAAGAATCAGAACCTCCACAGATTAAACTTGAAATAGAAGAATTGAAATTACCCCAGATTAAAGAGGAACACGAAGAATCAGAACCTCCACAGATTAAACTTGAAATAGAAGAATTGAAATTACCCCAGATTAAAGAAGAACATGAAGAATCAGAACCTCCACAGATTAAACTCGAAATAGAAGAACTAGAATTGCCCCAGATTAAAGAAGGTCAAGAAAAATGGGAACCTTCACAGGTTAAAGAGGAACACGAGGAACTCTACATCAGTCGGGAAGAAGTACAGATAAAGCAGGAGACTTTTGCCTTTAAAGTGACCCAAAATGATAAGAAACTTCCTGAGAGGAAACCAGAATCAAAGAACGATGAGCTCCTTCCTGACAGCTGTACTGAAGCTGAGAGCAGAGATCAGGAAGGAAGCTCTAAAACCTGCAAAACATCACTAAAATGTGACGTTTGTAGAAAAACCTTTGATAAAGCCTCATTATTGAAGCGACATTACCAAATCCACTTGGATGAGAGACCATACACCTGCAGTACGTGCCAGAAAACTTTTAGAAATAAATATAATTTGCAGATCCACATGAGAATTCACACTAACGAGGCACCGTTTATCTGCAAAACGTGCGGGAAAGGTTTCAAATTTAGCAGCGGTTTCCAGATCCACACCAGAACACACACTGGCGAGAAGCCCTACTTTTGTGAAACCTGTGGGAAAAGGTTTTCTGATCACCCAGCATTCAAAAAGCACAAGATGGTCCACACAGGTGAGAAGCCACATGCATGCAAGACCTGCGGGAGAAGATTCAACAGCCTCAGTCATTTAAGTCGGCACATGAACACTCACTCAGACGAGAAGTTGTTTCTTTGCCAAACCTGCGGGAAAAGTTTCAGCTGCAGCAGATATTTATGTCGGCACATGAGAAGCCACACTGGTGAGAAACCCTTCACCTGTACAACCTGTGGGAGATCTTTCAGCAGGAGCTGTCATTTATCAAAACACATGAAAAATCACTCAAAAGATAAACCCTTCTTTTGTAAAACCTGTGGGAAAACGTTCCCAGATAAGGCTGCTCTTTCAAGGCACACGCTCAACACMCATCCAAAGAGGCCTCATTCATGCAAAACGTGCGGGAAAAGTTACGGGAGAAAGAGTCATCTGTTGCGACACATGAGGATTCACAGTGGAGAAGTTTTAGACTAAAACGGTTTTGTTCAAACAGAATTATGGAAGCAAAAAAAAGAAGTATAAAGAAGCTGCAGCTGGAGTCAGAGGTTTCCATAAATGTCAGATTATTTTTGAGGTTTCAGGAAATCCTCTGAACCATTTTATTAATAATGATTATACAGCTTACAAGATTTGAGAAAACAAGTTTGAATTTATTGTGGATCATTTCTAATTTTCTGAATTCATATAGGCTCTGTTTTTTAATCCAAATCAGTTCAGTGATGCTGAAGTTTTTCCTTAACTTGATGAGGCCGATTATCTTCCTGTTAGTGATCATGATTGATTGCAGCTGTTAGTTTGAACCTCAGATGACAGGAAGCTGTTTCGGATGTTCCAGACTAAAACCAGTTCTACATCAGCATGGACCCTGAAGCTGGAGTGAAACCTGCAGCAGTCCACACGGATGAGACAAATGTCTTCTGGAGACAAGTGTGATGATCAGACGAGATGAAAATGGAGCTGCTGGAACAACTCTCCTAAACCTCCGACATCAACTGGATGGAAAATTAGTGAACTTAAATAAAAGTTGTCTGGTTCAGGACACCAACCAGTTTAAACAAGATCTGCCAGAAAGAAGAAGAGGAGGAGTTCAGATCTGAGCCAGAAACTTATTGATGGAGACCAACAGTCTGTGGTCCAAAACCAGATTTTATTCAGAACCATATGTTCTGTCAACAAGAGGAGAGCAGCACCACGTGTTTAACGGCAGCAGCTTTAACAACAAAAACAGAAAACATGATAAAAAGTCAACATAATTTATCAAAAAATAATTTAAATGTAACATTTGTACAGACAGAAACTAGAGTTTGTCAGGTTTAGTGGAGGCGGCTTTGATCCNCGGGCCCAGTTCATCCTGGTTAGACCCTGCTGCTCACCTGTTCAGGTGTTGCTTCACATTCACTCAGTTAATCAGAGAGAGGAGCTGCCTGACAAATGATTTCACATCTAAACACCTGCTTCAGCCAAGAGAGCAGGAGCACTGAACACTGCTAACTGTTTGTTCCTAGAAAACCTAAAACATTTATTTGATCAGGGTGGTGTTGTGTTTCTTTACCTGAAAAAAGCTTTTAATTCTGTAAATCATAAAATATTATTGACCAAATGAAGTAAATTCAACTTCGAGCTCAGTCACTTAGAATCAGAGACAACATTTCACCTTCTCTGTTGGTCGACAGGTGTTCCACAAGGTTCCATTCTGGGGCCTTTGTTATTTTCTCGATATGTAAACGACCTTCTTCCAGTTTGTCGTAATATCTTCATTCAAATGTACAAAACAGTCATTTACACACATGGTGCAAACACAATTCAAGTAATCAG